TGCTGTAATTAATATATAGTTCGTACCAGTATATAAACTCATCATCTCTTTCTTTAATTTCTTTTATCTTCACTTTCTTTGAATTTACGACTTCAAAAAGAGATTAAGACTTTTTAAGTGAATTCTAGATGAAATTGTTAAGAGAACGGTTTTATATTTAAATAATTACTTAGTATTTGACTTAATTCAAATATGATATCAATATAAATAATCAGTAACCTAATATATTAAATGTCTCTAAACGAATGTTAATTTATATATTGGAAGTATTAAACCAGAATAACAATTGAAGTAACCTTTTGACAACCAAAATGAACATCACTACGAATATGTTGAATAGGAGACATTGAGATAGGCGAGTGAGTGTCTTCTTTTCTTTTTTTTTTTCAGTGTCTAATATGCAAGGAAAGGGCCGAGAGGATTCAACAATGTATATAAAATTGAAGATCGACCAAGGATGAGATAATGCAGGAAGTGCAGGTGGAATTTAAGTGTTGCATTAAAAAAAATAGAAGACCAAATCATGAGAGGATCGTTAGAGAGATTAAGGGTTGTTTTATGAGAAGATAAGAGTTAATTGAGACAGGAGATGTTTGCAGAATAGGTAGCCATATATAAAGTGTGAGCGAAGAAGGAAGTTTAAAGGGACTAGCTAGAACGGAATTTAGGTAAAGTAATGAAGGAGAGAATATGAGTAAGGAAAGGAGCCTAATTAAATAGAAAATTGTCAAGAGATAATTGTTGGAGCCAATGATGTACAGTACAGATCTGTTAATCAGATCTGTATATTTAACAAATATGGGCTAGTCGGAGTTTGGGCCTAACTTGGGTCCTCAATGCATTTTGCATTGGGCCTAATTGTCCATAGCCCACTTCTGGATATGTAATTCACATAGTGCATAGCACATGTGAATGTGTATTTTAATTATTTGCTTCATCCATGTACAACTTTATACATGTAATTTAATTATTTGCTCCATCCATGTATTTATTTTAGGTACAATTTTGTACTAACTAATAGGATATTGTCACTTGGTAATGTAGAATGTAGCCCTAGATTCATTCATACTTGTATATAATCCAAGGCTTGTATTGCAAAAGAAATACTGAAAATACAAGGAAGAAAATCTTCAAATTATTCTTCTCATTCTTACATGGTATCAGAGCAGGTTTGATTCTGCTATCATTTTTGCTTTCTCAGTCACAAACCAGCTTTCACTTTTCTTCTTCTCTTAAGCTTCTCAGTCATAATTGTCTTAAGCTTGTTTGCTATGAGTTCTTCACCACAATCGGCTGAGACTCTAGCTTCTGGTACTCCCACCACCAATGTTCCTGCACCTAGAGTTACCATTGCTTCAGGAGTGATTGACTCTACTCACCCTTACTACTTTCACCCTTCTCACTATCCAGGGATGAACCTTATATCCTCATCTTTTGATGGAAAAAGATATGGAGGTTGGAGAAGGGTAGTTATCATTGCATTGTCTGCAAAGAACAAGTTGGGGTTTATTGATGGTTTTTTTATCTTCCCAAAAACTGATTCTATAATCCAGCAAGCCTGGGTAAGATGTAATGATATGGTACTTTTATGGCTACTCAACTCCTTGTCCAAAGAGATAGCTGAGAGTGTTCTCTATTCACAGAGTACAAAGGATCTATGGAGTGACTTGAAAGACAAATTTGGTCAGGCAAATGGAGCAAGGTTGTTCCAATTACAAAAGGAATTAATTTCAGTAGCATAGGAAAATTCAAGTATATCAACTTACTTCACCAAAATGAAGAGCATATGGGATGAACTAGATGCACTCAATACTTTTTCTATTTGTGTTTGTGAGTGTGAGTGTGGGACAAAAGTCAAGAGCTTGAAAGCACATCAAGATGAGAGATTACTGCAGCTCCTAATGGGACTGAATGGCATATTTATTGGGGTAAGAAGAAACATTTTATTGTCATCACCTTTGCCTTCATTGGACATGTATACTCCTTTGTGATTCAAGATGAGAAACAGAGGGAGATACATGCTACCCCTGCATACCCATGGGAATCTGCCTCATTCATTGCTATAAACCAATCGGGAAACTTCAGGAAGTTTAATGAAAACATGATGCAGAAAACAAGTTTTGAATTTAAGAAAAATGCAAGAATTTATTCCTATTGCAAGAAGCCTGGACATATCATAGACAAGTGCTATATGATTCATGGGTTTCCAGCTGACTTCAAGTTCACAAGGCAGAAGAGGTTTCAGGTAGGTACCCAGGAAAACAATGCTTTCCTCTCAAATGAGGATAGTGAACAGGGAGCAGAAAATACTACAGGAGTTCAAAATCTCACCAAGAAAAATATGGTTGAGCTGCTGCAGCTTCTTCAGCAAATGAAAATGGGACAAAACAGTGTAGGAACCTCTGATACTGCAGCAAAAGTGATATGTGCTTGTATGACCAATTTCTCTGAAGATATTACCTGTTTAAATCAAATCAGTAATGATTCTTGGATATTGGATAGTGGAGCAACAGAACATATGTCTTTCAACAAAGAATTTTTCACAAATTTGAAAACCTTGCCAAAACCTCTCATGGTCAAACTCCCTAACTCTTACATAGTTAAAGTCACTCATTCAGGAACTGTGCCCCTTTTGCCTAATCTGTTTCTACAAAATTTTCTTTATATTCCATCTTTTAAATATAATCTGTTGTCTATGCACAAGTTGTGCAAATAACTCAAGCAATATGTTTTATTCACTCCCTTTTCTTATTTCCTTCTATAGGGCCCTTCAGTGAAAAGCCCACTGGAGATTGGTAAAGAGAAAGGAGGCCTTTACATTTTCAGATCCAGACATAGAGCAGCAGTTTCTAAGAGTTCACCTAAGTTTAGAAGAGTTTTCATTCCAAGAAGGAATTATGTTTCCAATCATGGTTTACATTCATGTTTTAGTTTTTCTAATTCAATTGTAAAGGAAAAGTTGTGGTACTACAGATTAGGTCATATGCCCCTTAGCAATATGAAAAATGTTTCATCAGTTTCTATATCCTAGTGTTCCAAATTCTCCACTCCATGTGTTATTTGTCCTATGGCAAGGTAGTCCAAACTTCCTTTTCCTTCTAGTTCTATTTCTACCAAGAAAGTGTTTGAATTAATTTATGTGGATACCTGGGGACCATACAATAAAGCTACATATGATAGATTTAAGTATTTTCTTACAATTGTTGATGATTTCAGTAGGAGCACATGGACCTACCTATTAACCGTCAAATCCAATGCATTCACTATTCTGAGAACCTTTCTAGCTATAGTAGAAAGGCAGTTTAATATCAAGGTAAAGACTATAAGGTCAGACAATGCTTTTGAATTGGGAAATGGAAACATTCAATCAGAATTTTTTCAGTCACAAGGTATTGTTCATCAAACCACTTGTGTGTACACACCACAATAAAATGGAGTTGTGGAGAGAAAGCACAAGCATCTTTTAGAGACATCCAGAGCCTTGTTATACCAATCACTCCTACCTATATCATACTAGGGTGACTGCCTTCTTACAGCAAGCTATTTGATCAGCAGATTTCCAACAACTGTCTTAAAGATTAAGACTCCATATGAAGTTCTTTTTACAAGCAAGTCAAGTTACTCAAACCTTAGATGCTTTGGATGTTTATGTTTTGCTTATACTCTCTCAAATCATAGAACTAAGTTTGAACCAAAGGATACACCTTGTGTGTTCTTAGGTTATCCTCATGAAAAAAAGGGTTACAAAGTGTTGAACCTCAAGAATTTGAAACCCTTCATTTCTAGAGATGTTGTATTTCACGAAGAATTCTTTCCATTTGCTTCTATTAAGTCTAATTCTTATTATGCTATTTCTTTACCCATTGCTAAAGTTACTCTAAGTAAACAAACACCTGAAAATACACCTTTTGCTAGCAGATCTGACACTGAAGCTTCCTAAAGGCCCACTGAATCATCAATTGATTTATGTTCTTCTCCCATTTTTTCAATTCATCCTATCACACCTATTCCCTCTATCTCTTCTTCTAGGTTCTCTCCAGATTCTCCAGTATCATCTAGTCATCCACGTACATCTGCACCAGTCTTTCCTTCTTTAGATTCTGATCCTATAATGGATGGTCTTATTAGGAAGTCTACCAGACCACACACTACTCCATCTTATCTCAAGGATTATATCTGTAATACACTCCAACTCACAAATGTTAGCAACTCTTGCTTTCTCACACCTGTTACACCTACTTGTATATCTTTCAGCGAACTATCCTCTACTAATCAACATATGCTAAACACATTGTCCAATATACAAGAACCTACCAACTATTTACAGGCAACACATTACCCAGGATGGCAAGAAGCAATGGACAAAGAGATTGAGGTACTTGAACTTAATAAGACTTGGGAAGTGGTTTAATTACCACCTGGGAGGAAGGCTTTACCATGCAAATGGGTGTATGAAGTTAAACAACATTCAGATGGCAATATAGAAAGACTAAAGGCAAGATTGGTCATTAGAGGAGACATACAAAAAGAGGGGATAGACATCAATGAAACTTTTTCACCTGTGGTGAAGATGACCACAATTAGATGCATACTGGCTACTGCAGTAAAGAAAGGATAGGGTCTATACCAGCTCGATGTGAATAATGATTTCCTACATGAAGATCTAAATGAAGAAGTGTACATGAAATTCCCACCTGGGGTTATACCTCCTTCACCTACTCATGCTTGTAAGTTAAAGAAATCGATTTATGAGCTATGAAAAGCATCTCGACAGTGGTATGCTAAACTTACAACTGCTTTGAACTTTAAGGGATTCACTCACTCATTAAACGATTATTTCTTGTTCTTTAAAAAATCAGATTCTTCCATTTCTATAGTGGTAGTCTATGTGGATGACATACTCTTGACAGCGAATGACAATGCAGAATTACATGCGTTGAAAGAATTTCTCAATCAAGAATTCAAAATAAAAGATCTCGGGGACTCATTTTTTTCTAGACATGGAAGTTATCCGAGAAACAGATGGACTCATCCTTTCTCAACACAAATTCACTTTAGACCTTCTCCAAGAATTTAATTTCCTCTATTTGTCACATGTTTCTTCTCCACTTGACTCATCTACTCGTTTGTCTACTCACACAGGGGAACCAATTGAGGATCCCACCTTGTATCGCCATCTCCTTGGCAAACTTAACTACCTCACTCACACCCGACCAGGCTTATCCTTCACTGTCCAGCATCTCAACCAGTACATGCAGGACCCACGAAAGCCACACCTGGATGCAGCATTTCGTGTGCTTCGATATCTGCTCAAAGACCCTAGGCTTGGGTTCTTTATGTCTTCTTCCTCCTCATTCAAGCTCCTAGCTTTTCGTGACTTCGATTGGGCCACCTGTCCGGACTCAAGGAAGTCGGTGAGTGGTTTTTACATCTCCCTTGGTACCTCTCCAATTTCTTGAAAATCCAAGAAGCAAACTTCCATCTCACTCAGTTTGGCCGAGGCAGAATATAGATCCATGCGGCGCGTGGTTGCAGAGCTTACATGGTTGGTCCGTCTTTTTGAGGATCTGTCGATTCCCATTTCTCTTCCAGTCGCTTTTCACTCCGACAGCCAAGCAGCGATTCATATAGCAAAAAATCTCATTTTTCACGAACGGACGAAGCATGTTGAAATCAACTATCATTTTGTGCGCGAACAATACCTAGCTAGGCTGATTTCGTTGTCTTTTGTTCGATCTTCTGCCCAATTGGCAAATCTCTTCACAAAACCACTCACAGGACCTCTTCATCGTGATCTTTTGGGCAAGTTGGGTGTGTTTCTACCCCTTCAACTTGAGGGGGGTGTTGGAGCCGATGCAAATGTACATATTTGATTTAACAGATCTGTGTACTTAGCAAATATGAGGCAAGTCGGTGTTTGGGCCTAACTTTGGGTCCTCAATGCATTTTTACATTTNGCATTGGGCCTAATTGCCCACAGCCCAATTCTGGATATTTTATTCACATAGTGCATAGCACATATGAATGTTTATTTTAATTATTTGCTCTATTCATGTATAACTTTATACATGTAATTTAATTATTTGCTCAATCCATGTATTTATTTTAGGTACAACTTTATACTAACTAATAGGACATTGCCACTTGGTAATGTAGAATGTAGCCCTAGATTCATTCATACTTGTATATAATCCAAGGCTTGTACTGCAAAAGAAATACTGAAAATACAAGGAAGAAAATCTTCAAATTATTCTTCTCATTCTTACAATGTATAAAGTTGTACATGGATTGAGCAAATAATTAAAATACACATTCACATGTGCTATGCACTATGTGAATAACATATCCAGAAGTGGGTTAGGCCCAATGTAAAATGCATTGAGGACCCAAGTTAGGCCCAAACTCCGACTGGCCCATATTTGTTAAGTATACAGATCTGATTAACAGATATGTACATCATCGGCTCCAACAATAATTACACCGAATGTCACTTTTGGAGATCTAAATATATAGCCTATAATCGTTGCAGTTAGGATGATGTTTAAAAAAGATGAAGCCATTCTAAATAAGGACTTAAACTTATGAATGAATAATCACGTAAACTTGGATAGCATGAGCATGGCATGAACAACTAAAGACACGTAAGCGATGTTGTGTGTATATATATAGCATGCACAAAAAAGTGACTTCAAAAGGAATGTAGTTTAGCAGAAGTTCAGGGAAAATATATGGAGTATATATATATANTATTGAACGACTTTTATGACCTTAATTATTCGTATAATTGAAGGATATAATTGTAAATTACTTGAGGCTGGTTTTTCTTTCCATTTAAACAACGCATACACTAATGCTACATAGCTGACTTTGGGTCAAATTCTTTTTATTTGCGGTATACTTCTTCTACCCTACTTTTTGTTGGACAATATATGGTCTACTTTTTGTTGGATATATGGCCGATTTGGTTTCAACATAGCTCAACTTTTTTTTTTGTAGCCTTTTCCTTTTTTTACAAAAATAATTTTCCTTATTTACTTCTCCCATAGAATTCAGCTTGCTCACCGCCAACTTTTTTTGGTAGCCTTTTTCTTTTTTAACAACAATAGTTTTTTCTTATTTAATCTTCTCCCATAGATTTCAGCTTAATTGCACGAATCCATGTAGAAAAAGAATAAGCAAGTTATTCCTATAAAAGATGATATTGTTCCACATTGTTCATTGTTCTCTAAAGGTTTTGGTGTAGAACGAAGCAATTTTCTCCAAAGGTATTATTAGTTCTCTCTATTGTTTCCATTTTTCGTAATAGAGTAAGTTCCCATTTTTCGTAATTGAGTAATGCTTTAGGGTCATGTATATGAATTAGAGAGAAAAACAATGACATCTTAACTTTTATTGTAATTGTTTTTGTGTCGTACTTCTTTATTTTTCGGCATAGTTTTTAGTTTTAGATACCAAAGTCTTTTACATTGAAGTAGTATTATGTTTAAATTGTATATCTTTAGAGATTAATGGTTTGTGTTATTTCAACTAATGTTAGTGTAAGAATATTAATTTTCAGCTATTACATAATATTTTGCAGCTTTTACTTATATATTGCAGGTATTTCGCGCATTGTAATGGAATCGGATTTGAACACACGTGCCGAAAGTAATTAACAAATTAATTCAAGTCAATACACAAGAAACACACAAGAAAAAAAATCTAAGAAACACGCAACATAAGTTTCACATATTGACTATATAAGATCAAATATTTTTCCTCCTTCGTACGGTAAAAAGACACAAAACGAAGCAAATTTTCATGATTCAATCTATTAAGTCTTCTCATGTGCATGAAAGTCTTCCTTGTCTATTTTCTCTATTTAATTAAGAAAAGTATAGTGATAAGAAAATGAATTAGCTAATAGTAGTAATCTTTTGTATCATGACATTAACACTTTTATAATAATCAGTATATTTATAAATTTTATCTTTGTTATTACGCACGTCTATTGTTACACGTGTGGGGCACATAGATATAAACTAGTATATAAATATATATATATAGGGAAGGACAAACTAGAAAGTATAGTGCATCAAATGTGGAGCAATGGAGGTGGCTGCCGCTGCATACGCTTTGGAAGATACTATTTTAAAACCGTTGGGAAAAGGAATTACCAAAGCATATTCTATATCTCAGGTTCTTCCTATAACTACTTAACACTTAGAAATTTTAGTTCTTATTATCAGCATCAGCATTTAAAAAGAAGAATAGGAAGAGCTCAAGAATAAGTTCAATTATGGCGATTGGCGTGGTGGGTGGTTTTGCTGGCTGTTTTCATCGTTCATATGAATGGGTAAGAATGACATTTTATAATTGGATGAATCATGCATGAATAAAGATTTATATCTTTCACAGGGCAACCTCAATCCTTTGACAATGTTTAATTTCTTCTATCTTCTGATTTTGGGTTTCAAGATCGAATGTCACGAGGGAAGCTGGATTATTTCTTGGCCAAATACACGGACAGCCCCTTAAAGTTGTCCGTACTTTTCGCTTAAATACTCTATCTTAAGTCTATTTTATTTGAACACTACAAGCACAACTCAAATGTGTCATTTGAACCCAAAATGCTGACATTTTACAAGCGCGTGAAACCATTCAAAAAAAAAAAGCACCACATACTTCTTGTCGGAAAATGTAGCGGAAAATTTTCCGGCCATCTTCATAGCCCAATTTTTCTTTAGATTTGTTCACACCAATACAATTGTATCCTTCTTTAGATCTGTGCACACCATAACCACCTTCATATTTGGCCACCATCATAAAGTTCTCATTTTTCATCTTATTTTGAAGATCTGGTTGGCCGCTGCAATTCTGGCCGTAAAAGTAGCAGCATCCCTACCTGCCTACCTCATCTTCTCCATTATCTTCCACCATGGGATGACACGAACAAGAGCTGTGACAAGAGCCCTCTCATTTTCACTCGTCCGACGAGATTTTATTTTTTCCGACGAACTTTCATTTTTTTCTCAACAGTTAAACTGTGACTTGAATCAAATTCGGCTAGATTCGAGCGGATCTGACCGGAAATAACAAGTTTTTGGCGACCCTTTTGCATTGATGTCTTCTTCTCCTCGTTTTTTCTTTTTCTTTTTGTCTACAGGTTATAGATCTAAGAACATATGGTGAAACTCCACCATCTTTTAATTCGGTCGGAATTTTATTTCCGGCAACTTTGTGGTTTGGTCGGATTTTCATTTTTCCGACAACCTTCATGCTTATGTTCGCTGATTTTATGATTGAGTCCCATCTTTGGTACATTTAGATTGGGTTTGATTTCACTATCCTCAACTATAGCATTATATTCTGTTTTTCTGCTAATGATTTTATTGGTCGTTTGCTGCTGCAATTTGAAGGGGGAAAAAATGGCCAGGGGTGATTGGGGAAGATGACAGACGGGTGGGGTTAAGGTAAAATATACTTATCTTATGTCTTATTCGTCAATCTTACGTGTGAATTACACTATCCTTTTGTGTTTGGTTGCCTAAAAATTTTGTGTTTAAATAACACATTTGAGATGTGCTTAGAGTGTTCAAATGGAACGGATTTAAAGATAAAGTGTCTAAGTGAAAAATATGACTAACTTTATTTGACCTTATTTCTCTAGTTGTAATAGTCTTTAATTTAAGTTTGCTATTGATCAAATCCACTTCAAAAAAGAAGTCTAGTCGGCAGTGTAATACATTTTAATTTCTGGCATGAATTTCGTTGTTAGTAAGGGGAAGTGTAGAAAAAGCCATATTAGGACCGTTTTAAAAAAAATAGTCTGACTTTAAATAGTTTTTAAACTTTAGCCGTCTTGAAATCAAATTCAGACCTGCAGAACTAAAGTTGATAATCACGAAATTGAAATTTCAAACTTCAAACCTTCGGTCTGAAGTTGAAATTGCTAAAGCATAACTTCATACCAATTCGAACTTCAGACCCGAAGATCTGAAGTTAGATTTGGCCAGTTTACAAATCCATAAATTCAAGCTGAAATTTAAAAGTTTCCAACCCAATGATATGAAGTTCGGAACTGTTAAATCCAATTTCATACACAAATATTTTAAGTAGACACGTCCAATTAATTTGGGATTATGATGAAGTTCATTGATTGGACAGGGCCATTCAAAGACGGAAGCATTGAGCTAAAATAAGCACACTTTCAACTTTGGATAAATTAAAAAATAGCCAGATTTATAAGTGGTCATTTAAAAATAGTCACAGTTTAAAAAGTCATCGAAATTTAATCATTTTTTATGTAAAGATAAATCGGAACGAAAATACTGTTCAAAATTCGAAAAATATTCCAGCATAATATACTGAAACTTCAGTATACTCTGCTGGAACTCCATAATATACTGAAAGTTCATACATAGGTGCACCAAACTCCAGTATATTATGCTGGACCGATCTCTGATGCAGCAAAATATTG